GGATTTTGGTCAAATTTTCAGCACATCAAGAAAGAATCTTTTTAAACATTTATGGGAAATTTCAACTCTCTAACCACGTCTGGATGAAAGTTACAAAGTCTGGAACAAGTAACCAACCAAAGAAGTTCTGTGGATGTCGTTTGTGACATTTAGCGCGCTTTTAAATTTAAGTTTTGCGAACGTTTTTGGGAATTTTCAAGCTTCCAATCACTTCTGGATAGAAGTTACAATGCCTATAACAAGTGAACGGCCAATGGGATTTTATCCAGATTTTCAGCACATGAATAATGATGCTTTTTCAACACATATAAAAAATTTCAACTGTTTGATTACATCTGGATGGAAGTTACAACGTCTGAAACTAGTGAACGACTAATGGGATTTTGGTCAAATTTTCAGCACATCAAGAAAGAATCTTTTTAAACATTTATGGGAAATTTCAACTCTCTAACCACGTCTGGATGAAAGTTACAAAGTCTGGAACAAGTAACCAATCCATGAACTTTTGTGCACCTGGCATGTCGCATTTAGCGCGCTTTACAATTGAAGTTTTGCCAACATTTTTGCGAAATTTCAAGCTTCCAATCACTTCTGGATAGAAGTTACAAGGTCTATAACAAGTGAACGGCCAATAGAATTTTATCCAAATTTTCAGCACATGAATAACAAATCTTTTTAAACATTTATGGAAAATTTCAACTGTCTTGTTTCATCTGGATGGAAGTTACGAGGTCTGGAACAAGTAGCAAATCAATTAACTTTTACCAGCTTCCAACCACTTCTGGATAAAAGTTACAAGGGCTATAACAAGTGAACGGCCAATGGGATTTTATTCAAATTTTCAGCACATGAATATTGAGGCTTTTTGAACATTTATAGAAAATGTCAACTGTTTAATTACATCTGGATAGAAGTTACAAGGCCTGGAACAAGTGAACGGCCAGTGGGATTTTAGCCAAATTTTCAGCACATCAAGAACAAATCTTTTTGAACATCCCTACAAAAAATTTACTCTCTAACCGGGTCTGGATGAAAGTTACAAAGTCTGGAACAAGTCAACTTAACCTCAAAACTTTTTACGTTTTTTGCAGCTTAATCGCAACGGCTGACATCAGCGCCCAGTCGTCGCTAAAGTCGATTTCCAGGTAGGAAGCCACGAAACTCATCCAGATTAATCGGAGGAATTTTAAATTGTTTTTCCAATCCCCATCCAGATCGGCGTCGAATTCCGATCAATCGCTCGCATCCACCGGCTTGAAATCGGTCAGTTTTGGCAGCGCCAGCTTGAATAATCTGCCCGAAGCTCCAGCATCTGCTCCAGACTCGGCCAGTATTAACGGACTTCTGGATCATTCATCCAGGAAAAACTCGCTGCTTCAGCGCATTAAAAGGTAGGTCTGGAATTGGGCGTGGCAATTAATTTTTTTTTCATGGAAAAGTCTGTTTATTTCAGCTCGTTGACGCCAAAGTCGCGCGCCAATCCGGTGACCAGGCCGGAAGAATTGGCGCTCAAGAGTGGACCGGATGAAATCGGTCCGGCGGACGCGAACAATGCGAAACCGTTGAAGAAGAAGAAGAAAAAGATCAGTTTCCGGCTGCAGAAGAAGAAGAAGGCCGTCCTGGCGGACACCGGATAGATTTGGATCTGGATCTGGATGCGTTTCGATGTGTGGATCGGTTTTAGCCCGTTTGCTTTCCAGAATTTAGCACAATTCTAGGGGAATTCAACGAGCCGATCTGTTTTATGTATTGAATTCTATGTTTAAGTAAAGTTTTAATTGTTTTTGGAAATATACCAGGCGTCATTTTAATTTTGTGAGAAAAAAATTTAATTTTGACAATTGACATTTCGGATTGACAGTGGGAAAAGTGATCTGGCGCCGCCCCCTGGGGAGTTTTTGGGGGTTTTCTTGCGTCCTGGCCAGTGGCGTGCGGCGATTTTGAGCGTTTTTCGTTGACCACGCCTTTAAGGACTTCGGTGTTTTGTCCTCCTGGAGATAAGGAGGGATTTTCAAAAATTCTTCTGTGGCTTTATAGGATGGGGCAGAGTGCCGCCAGACTCCCCCTTCAGGGGGAATTCTTGAAATATTTTTTTTTGCCCGTGAAAATTAATTGAGTGGAGGAAACTAAGGTTTATTTTGTTTGTCCAAATGATGCCCTAAACCGAAAAAAGTCGCTCTCGGCAAAACATTCGGGCCTTCAAAAGCGATAAAGTGGAGTTCTTTTCGAAAGCATAAGGAGTTTTGGAACCAAAGCCACACAATTTCGCAAAATATCTCCGCAACGATAAACGATGGACCAATTCGGAGCACGCCACTGGTTAGAGGAGGTTGACAGGCATAAAAAAGATGCAGTTGAATTTTCCTTTAGAGTGAACAGAACGCGGGTTCTAGACGTTTTTTGAATTTTCTGAGAAAAAAATTGCAAATTTTGACAATTGACAGGTCGGCTTGACAGTGGAAAAAGTGATCTGGCGCCGCCCCCTGGGGAGTTTTTGGGGGTTTCCTTGCGTCCTGGCCAGTGGCGTGCGGCGTTTTTGAGCGTTTTCCGTGGACCACGCCCTTAAGGGCTTCGGTGTTTTGTCCTCCTGGAGATCAGGAGGGATTTTCAAAAATTCCACTGAGGCTTTATAGGACGGGGCAGAGCGCCGCCAAACTCCGCCTAAAGGGCGAATTCTTGAAATATTTTTTTTTGCCCGTGAAAATTAATTAAGTGGAGGAAACTAAGGTTTATTTTTTTTGTCCAAATGACGCCCTAAACCGAAAAAAGTCGCTCTCGGCGAAACATTCAGGCATTTAAAAGCGATAAAGTGGAGTTCTTTTCGAAACCATAAGGAGTTTTGGAACAAAATCCACACAATTTCGCAAAATATCACARCAACGACAAACGACGGACCAATTCGGAGMACGCCACTGGTTAGAGGARCTTGACAGGCGTAAAAAAGATGCAGTTAAATTTTYCTCTAGAGCGAAAAGAACGCGAGTTCTAGACGATTTTTAAATTTGGTGAGAAAAAATTTACAAATTTTGACAATTGAAAGGTCGACGTGACAGTGGTAAAAGCGATCTGGGGCCGCCCCCTGGTGAGTTTTTGGGGGTTTTCTTGCGTCCTGGCCAGTGGCGTGCAGCGTTTTTTAGCGTTTTCCGTTGACCACGCCCTTAAGGGCTTCGGTGTTTTGTCCTCCTGGAGATCAGGAGGGATTTTCAAAAATTCCACTGAGGCTTTATAGGACGGGGCAGAGCGCCGCCAAACTCCCCCAAAAGGGCGAATTCTTAAAATATTTTTTTTTTGCCCGTGAAAATTTATTGAGTGTCCTGCGATTGTTGCGTGTGATTTTTTGCTATGCCAAAACCAGCCTCAGGATGGTGCTGCGCTCCAAACTTGGCACTTTGTAGTAGACAGTGCGCTCTATCCAGAGCCGTACAGTAATTTTTTAAATCCTTTGTCAATTTTATGCAATTAATTTTCGAAAGGTGGTTTGCCGCAGGTTACACAAGCTCAGTTTTAGTGGATTTATTTGTTTGCTGATGCCGCCCTGAGGATGGTGATGACTTCGAAACGAGGGGGTTTATAGAGGAAAGTTGGCTCTATCCAGGGCCGTTCCAGGCCAGTTTGTGCCTCTGCCCAGTTTAAATCTATTGAGCGAAAATTCATTGAGTGTCTTTTTGTGGCTGAGTCCCATCGAAGGAAGTCGTCACTGATTTAAAAATAAATGTTCCCCAGCTCTATGGGTGAAAAACCGGTAAACCCTTCAGGGCGTGGTAGTTGGAAACCCCCAAAAATCAGGCTTGCGACTCTGCCTGACAAAAAATAGCTGGTTGGCTACCCCAAGTCACTTTTATCCTGTCAGTTCAGCATGTCAAGTGTCAAAAAATGTCAAATTTTGATTTTTTTTGTCGTCAAGTCCCAAAAATCGCCCTGTTTTGAACATTGATTGAACCACATTTCCACTGTCAAGGCGACATTTCAACTGTCATAAAAATGTCAAGATTTGCAAGTTTTTCTGCCAAAGTGCCCAAAAATCGTCAATAACTTGCGCTCTGTTCACTTTAAAGAAAAAATGACTTTCACCTTTTTTATGTCTTTTGTGTCCCTCTTTCCAGTGGCGTGCTCGGATTTGTCGCATCTTATCTAGTTATGCAGATATTTGAGTTTTTCTCTTGGCCAGCGGCTAGGTTTGAGCAGCGTTGCCAATTTGGCCAGTTCGGCTTTGAAACCCCAAAAAAGCCAATGGCTCGATCACTATGAGCTGTTTAGCGTTCAGTTAGAGAGCATCAGAGGTTTATTCGGGAGTTGATTCGGAGGATGTTTTGGCATAGCAAAAAATCAAACGCAACAATCGCAGGACAATCAATGAATTTTCACGGGCAAAAAAAAAATATTTCAAGAATTCGCCCTTTAGGGGGAGTTTGGCGGCGCTCTGCCCCGTCCTATAAAGCCGCAGTGGAATTTTTGAAAATTCCTCCTGATCTCCAGGAGGACAAAACACCGAAGCCCTTAAGGGCGTGGTCAACGAAAAACGCTAAAAAACGCTGCACGCTACTGGCCAGGACGCAAGAAAACCCCCAAAAATTCACCAGGGGGCGGCCCCAGATCGCTTTTACCACTGTCACGTCGACCTTTCAATTGTCAAAATTTGTAAATTTTTTCTCACCAAATTTAAAAATC